CAGTCCTCTGCTCCCCTGCTGCCCGAACCCTGGTCCTCCCGCTGGCCAGTACAGCCTATGTGCTGAGCCCAGATGGCAAGCCCTCTGCAGTCAGGCCACAACCACATTCTTGTCCTGGACCCCACTCCTCCAACTTGGGTGAGGCTCCCCTGATAGCCTTCACACCTGTGCCGTGAGGCCCTGCCTCCTGGAAGGCCCTCCCTGACACCCTCTCCCTTCTGGTCCCTCCCTTGACATCGTGACAAATACACAAATACACCTCAAGGCCCAACTCTAATGTCAGCTCCAAGCTCTCTCCTCCCATCCCCATCCAGGCACATTGGGCAGATGGGGGACAGCTGCTGTCCTGGTGAAACGTGGTCAGTTATGTCTCTGTCCACCAGGTTTCACCACTGGAGTCATGGCCCTTTTTTTCCCATGGTTCTGATGTTCATCTCTCAGAGGAGGGATGGTCCTCTGTCTCGTCTGTGGACCCTGGAGCAGGCAGAGGAGCCGGTGGTGTTTGGGGCATGGGGACCAAAGATGAACTCCTACTCTGCTGATCTCAGGGCAGGGAGCACCTCACTAATGTCCTGGCGGGGAGGGGAGCACAGCCTGTTTCCAGAGGAAGAGATAGCCTCACCCAGACCTCTTGGCCAGTGGGTGGTGAGTGTGAGCCAGGTCTGTTGTGCCCAGCACTGAGACTGACCCCTGGCCCTGCTTTGTCTTCCAGTGGAGCGTGACCACACCCTGGCCCATCAGGAGCCCCACTGGAAGGAGTTCCGCTTTGACCTGACCCAGATCCCAGCAGGGGAGGCGGTCACAGCCGCTGAATTCCGTATTTATAAGGTGCCAAGCACCCACCAGCTCAACAGGACCCTCCACATCAGCATGTTTGAGGTGGTCAAGGAGCAGGCCAACAGGTACCTTCTTCTGGCCCCTGCAGCTGCCCCTCCCTTGTGGTCAAGACCCAGCCCTGGGGAGGGGGTGGGGCATTTCTCAGAGAACAGAAAGGGAAGCTCTCGGGAGACCAGTCTGAGAGATGGGAAACAGGATTGACCCCGGAGCCTCTTGGCTCTGTGGGAAGAGCCCCAGCAACATCCAGGCTGTGGGGGCTTGGACAGGTGCCTAAGCCTCAGTTTCCCCGTGTGTATGTGGATGCAGTAACACGTTTGCTAGTGAGAAAGTGTAGAGGCCCCTAGCCCAGAGCCAGTTACAGGGTAGATGCTCCACCCGTTTCCCCCCCCC